CATTTAATCCTACAAACCTCTATAAAAATCAGGTTCTATTTTTACATCTCTTTAAGAATAAGGAAACTGAGGTTCAAACAGGTACCCTGTCCCAAGTCACATGGATTTCAAAGGACAGAGCCAGGAGAAAGCATGATCTTCTGACATAAGTCCATTGCCAAGCCACATCACCGATTGCTCTTATTTTCTCCCTGCCTTATGCTATACCTTTCAGTGTGGTAGAGAAAATGATTCTTTTGGGGGTGACATTTGTCACCCCTTGCTTAATAGTGGTGAAATCTTGGTAATTCTACTTGCCTTTCAACGTCTTTTGCAATCTGCCCTTTTTTTATTTAGTAAAGTTTATTTTCCATCACTGCCTTTTTGCTCTCTTACCTCTTCTCAAGCTGGTATTTCTGTGATTTCTATCCACTTCATTAATTTCCATTTCCACGCGTCCTATTCTCCACTAATCAAGCTGTATACACCTTTGGATGCCCGACTTAAGCACCTCCTCATCCATTCCTCATCTATTCTCATCCTCAGAGATGGTAACATTTGATCACCTCCCAGACCTACTCAAAAGCTTTCAGGGCTAAACTTTTACCTACTAAACCAAACACAGACTTTTTTTTCTCAGCCTGGTATTCAAGTCAGTCATTCAGTCACAAATATGTACTGAGAACCAATTATGTGCCAGAAGCCCTCTAGGTGCTGGGACAACTGTGGAGAACCAGAGGGTTGCTGCCCTAATGGTGAACAAGCTAGACATTAAATAACTACAAATAGTCAATTAAATATTTACTTGTCTGAAACAAGTAATTACAAGGCCCTCGACAAATCTGGTCTCAACCTATCTTTTCAGAGTTCTTTCTCATCCTTTTACTGTATCCCTGGGCTTACTCAGGCTTCCCCACCTCTGTGGTGGCTCCATGTTCACCCTCCAATCCTGAATGCAGGTTCCTCCCTGTTCCCCTACATCCACCTCCAGGACTGGCTTTCGTTCTGCCTCTTCCATGAAACCTGGCTAGACAACTTCTGCTAGACAGCTTTAGCCTGAAGGATATTCCCTCATTTGAATTCCTAGCACTTATCCATTCAACAAATATTTACTGAATGACTTCTTGAAATGTTTGATGAATGACACTTCATGAAAGATTTAAGTTATGTGGGTAATTAGACTTTTCCTACTGAGAGGGATCAAGGATTTTTTTTCCTTCTCTTCTGGGTGGGGAAGAAGTAGAGATCAAAACTGTATAGTAAAACATACAAAATTATCAATAAGCAAAAGGACAATAAAAATTGCCCAATGACTCATAATCCTACCACTTGAAAGAGATCACCACTGACAATTTTTCTCTATATCTTTTTAGTGTTTTTTTTTTTTTCTGTTTGTTTCTCTCCGTGTGTCTACATCATTTTGGAAAATTCCTTCTTCCTCAAAATTAAATTTTTATCAAGAAAACCTTTCTTCTTATGGTCTTTTTTAAAACATGAAATACCTCTACCCCCTCCTTACTTGCACTCTTCTGCTTGGGAGTGCCACAGTTTTATTTTGAACAAAATTTAGGGAGTTTACTCAAAGACTCATCCATATCTTTTCCAGTTCACTGATCCTATGCACAATAAGAATTTGAACACTCTTTTAGGGCATTTACTCAGAAATTCCTTCTCAAGACCTACTGCAGCTGACCTTTGGTATGGCACTCTACCCTAACGTCTTCAAGGCCTGAAATGGGTGGGACACTCATGTGGGACACATGAGTGTAGCCATACTCAGGTACAAACCACAGAATGTCAGGCCTACAAGATCATAGGAGATCTTCTAGTCCACCCCCTCACTTTGAGGTTGAGCAGTCGGTTGAGTACTTGCCCAAGATCTTGCTGCTGGTGGCAGCAAAGCTGGAGATGCCAGCCCTGGTTATCTTTCCAAATTGCCCCACTGTCTTCAGTATGTCTAACAATTACCCCCAAACTATAATTAGACAAAAAACACTCAGTGAATGCCAAATAAATCGGATCTATTCCTACCACGGAAGGGGAAAAGTTTAGTAGAGATCAGGCTAGATCTCTCAGCATGGGCTTGTTTTGAAATGTCAGAGAACCATCTCACTGGAAATCTATATTGCCGTGAAAGGATTAAAGCACAAAAGAAATATTAGGGGCCATCTCTTTCTTTCTTTCTTTCATGTTTGAGAAGTGGAGGATAACGAAAGGATGTAGGAAAAGTCAGCCTTACTCATGAACTGCAGTATCGTTTTGAATGTATATTCAGCTTTGGTTCTTAATCTGATTTCTGTTAAGGTCACTGTGATGCAAGGTGCAATTCCCCCAGGCAAAAAAATTCCAAAATTTGTAGAGAAACTGAGCCTCTTCAGAGAGACCAAGCCCACTTCACCGACAGCTTTCCTACCCTCAGCTTGCGCTCCAGTAAAGTGGTCTTTCGTCTGAATTCTAAAAATCAACGGTATTGGAATATCTTCTTACAGGAACCTAGGAAAGGGCGAGCTGTATGCAGTCTTCACAGAGGCGAGAACTGTAGTTTTAAGAGTTCTAAAGAACATTCCAGTGGGCCTGAAGGTCTTACTAGATGAAAGGTTACGGAAGGAGTCGGGGTGCAATTCAGTCGGACTGGAGTGGAAGCTGATCCACCTGGTAGGACTGGGGCAGAGGCAGCTCCAAGAGAAGGGAAAATCCAAATGTAAGAAGGCGCTGGAGAAGAAAGAGCTCTCCCGGGGGCCGCAACCCAGCTCGCTTCTCCTCTGCTCACTCTCAAAAGCTCACTTTAGGATGAAGAACACAGGTGCTGCCCAGTGGAATCCCTACCTCTCAGCGGCAAACAAAGGGAACGGTCTCCTTCACCCTTTTTGGTCTGAATGAGGGCTCGGCTTTACCTTTGAGAATCCACCCATCCTTCCTCAGGCGCCCAATGAGGCCGCAGCCTCTTCCTGACGGGCGGTGTTGAACTCTCCCAGGAAACGGACAGGTACCTCGGACCAATGGTTGGAGATGCGGGGGTCCAATGGGAGAGAGAAATGGGTCAACCTGGGGTTTGAGAATGAGAGAGCCCGCACGTTGGGGCGGGGTGGGGGGGAGGGCGACGTAGGCGCAGGGGGTGGAGAGGGGCGG